TTAGTTTATTTTAGGTTACTTACACACTTTAGGGACCATATCTAAGAAAGGCATCATTGCCCAATCCAAGGCACAAAGATAAACATTTCTGCATTTGTTCAAAGTCTTGTATTTAGATCTATGGGCAATTTTGAGTTAACTTTTAAATATGGTGTGAAGTAGGTGGTCAGGATTCATTCTTTTGCACATGCATATTTTTTATCCCAGTATAACTGCTAAAAAAATTACCCCCATTGAATTGTGTTAGCCAGGAAATGGTTTTGAAATTATTTATCAATTTTTACTTCAAAAGTAAAAACACAGAGAGATCTTCTATCAACAGCTTTATTGCCCACCATTCAGGACTCAGCCAGACCAAAGTCAAGAGAGAAAAATTCAGTCCACAGCATGAGTGGTGAGAACCCAAGTGTTTGACCCATCAGCTGCTCCTCTCAGCATGTGTATTAACAGAAAACTGGAATTGGAAACAGAACTGGGACTTAAATCCAACTGAAGTTTGATTTGAGATGCAGGTATCTCAAGAGTAACCTTAACCTTTGTTCCAAAGGTCTAATCCAAGAAAAAACCTTTTTTAAGACAATAACGATCTGATGCACTGGTCATGGTAGACCTCCACCACCACCACTGCAGCCTAGGGTGATGAGCTTGAATATTTTGTGTGAAACATCTGTGAGCATGTTGGCCCATGTCTTTCTAGTTGTATCAGTAGTTTTTAAATTTAAGGTAAGACACCCAGTAAGACTGAGGACTTTTTATTATATATTATATTATATTATATTATATTATATTATATTATATTATATTATATTATATTATATTATATTATCAACCTCAGGAACTAGGTTGACTCCCCCTCTGTCCTCCTTCCCTGAGTCCATCCATGGCCCAGGCTCCAAGTAACACCTTTCGACACAGACAGCTCACACTGTGTTTTGTTTGACTGTATAGCCCTACTCTCCCCTTCCAACTCCCCATTTTCACCCAGCTTTTAGAAGTGTGCACCTAGTTCACGGGCATCTCATATTCAACTCGTTCAATGTGTCATTTTCCCTCCTACCACCCAGATCAGACCCCAACTTCTCCTTTTCTGGTCACAGCACTGTAGTTCCCATAACCCAGGGATAAATCTCAAAGTCATCTTCACTTCTTGTTCCTCTCACCACCCCTCCACAGCATCTGATCATTCTCCAGGTTTACATAATCATTCCTTTATCCTGACCATCTACTGGTACCCTGTCTGAGCCAAGTTCTTACTCTGCAGTCTGGGCTGAGGCAATAGAGGTCTCTGCCCTTACTTGCTTCTTGCTCAGCTCCTCATTTTCTAATTTATTAGAACACCAGATGTACTAGCTAAAAGAACAGTTCTGAGCATTTAACTTCTGGCTCAAATAAATAAATAAATAAATAAATTTCAGTGGCTTGTCATGGTCCCTCAAGTTCAGTAAACACCCAACTACTCAGGAATCCAAGGACCTCATTTCTCTGGCTCCAGCCTGTCACATGGCCTCCTCTCCCAGTTCTCCCCAGAGACTCTGTGTTCCAGCCAAAGGTATCACCACTGACATTCTCTGCATTTCTGTGCCTTCTGCCTTCACTTGCTGCTTTGCCACCACCCTCAGCAAGCTAACCCTGCTGAATCTTCCAGCCCATCCCAAATGTGATCAACTCCATTCAGCTTAGCTGATAGCTCAGCTGAAGGAAGAACCACCTCATCATTCATCTCTGTGATCTACTCATTTTTGTGTGACATTGCCTATTGCATTCCTCACCCCTCTCAGCAGATGGCATAATGCCTTGACCGACATTCTTCCTTGACAGATCCTGGTCACATTCAGCAGGGACTCACATAAGGGAACAGGAATCAGAATCACTTGGAGAACTTTACCAAAACACTCCGCTTGAATTCTAGACCTCAGTATTTTCTAAAAGTTTCCACTGTTGATTCTGATGTGGCTCTTGTCAAATCCACAAAGGTTACTAGATACTGAACATTTGCTCTGTACCAGGCCGTGTGTATGTATCATTTTATCTAGCTCTCACAGCTAGCGATATTTTCCCAACATCTTCATAAGGAAACTTAGGCTTAAAGGAGCTTTTTTTTTTTTCTGCCTCAGGTGGGCCACTTGTGAAGAAATACAAGTTCCTGAAAATCACTTAAAATTTATTTCAATAATTTTATCAGAGATTTTCCAGAAAAATTTATATCCACATTTAGTAATTTTGAACTGGTTTCCCTTTTCTTAACTTTGTGGCCCTGGCTAAGTTTTTGCCCTCTCAGTACATTGATGTCCTCTTCTACAGACTGAGATGATGCCATTGGAAACAAGCATCAGTCCAATGCACTTCTTAGTACCAAACAACTGTGGCCTGAGGAGCTCTGCAGTTGAAATAAGTCACAAGGAAGGCTGACTCCGGGTTTTTGGGGCAAGGCTAACATTGACGAATAAAATTTTACTGAGGGACTTTTCGCTATCAGGAATTGGAGAAGTAAACAGAGATAGGGTCTCCCACACATGAGTAGGACAATTTTTGTTACTTTGACCAGGGCCACCCTCCCCACAGAGGAGTTTTCCCCTCAGCTTGGTGGCCTGAGGCTTCCTTGGGGAACTGCCTGTGCCAGGGCTTTTCTGCTTCTGAGCTTAGGAGTGGCCTGTGTGTCTACATCACCACATTCCTCTCCCAGACAGAGAGAAATAAGAAGCAGCTTTGGGGTTTGATCACTTTTACCACTGCCTGGAATCTCATAGTTCTCCACTTCCCTATGACATTAACCAAACATGGTCTAGTTCTGCTTTCTCTCTGTGCTGAGTGTACTTGAGGTAGGGAAATGAGATGATGATAAAGGATTGTAATGTGTTCTCTTGCAGCCAGGACATAGATGTGTGAAGTTATCTCAGCTATTGCAGCTTACATTGAACTGAAAGTGCTATTTTAACTCTTATGTAACATTTTATGCAGTATTGAGAGACAGATCCCCTTTGCTAGCTAGTTAATTCCTGCCCCTGTCTCCCAAAGCCCCTAATGGCCAGGGCTGGACCAGGACCAAAACCAGGAGTGAAGAACTCAATCTAGGCTTGCACACAGATGACACGACCCAATAACTTAAAGCATCACCACTCCCATGGTGTTTACTGAAGGAAACTAGAATCAAGGGCTCGAGCCAGGAATCAAACAGGATGTGGGATGCGAGCATCCTAATGGAGTTTCACAAATGGCTGGCCTGGGTTTATAGTATTCTTTCAGGTAATCACATGCACTATTAGGATAGAATTATTGCTCCCACTTCATAAAGGAAAAAACAGAACCTCCGAGTTTGCATAATTTTCCCAAGGCCACACAGTTAATGATCTGCTTCATTGCCTGGAACTTCTGGGAATCTCTTTGAAAGAAAATAGACATTGTAGAGAGGGACAGAAAAAGGACATCTCTGGCCATCCTCTTTCCTTCTTACTCCTTGCCTAGAATTCAGACATTATGCTAGAGGACAAGCAGCCATACTATGACTTTGAACCTGGAAACCACACAGAAAAAGATAGCGAAGCACAAAAACAGAAGTCTATGCCACTGTGTTTTCTTGCAACACCACACTAGCCCCAAGCAACTAACCTTTCTCCGTTAGCTTTGTGCTATGTTTAAGATACAATATGTTTCCCTATGGAGGGTTTAAGGCCGTCTCTCCTGGTGATGATTAGTGTTTGCTTACCAGGAGAGATTATACATATTTGCATTCTTTGTTTCAAGATTTATTTGGTTTTATTGGAAAGTCAGATTTATAGAGAGTAGAGACAGAAAATTTTCCATCCACTGGTTCACTCCCCAAGTGGCTACAATGGCTGGAGCTGAGCCAATCTGAAGCCAGGAGCGAGGAGCTTCTTCTGGGTCTCCCATGCAGGTGTGGGGTCCCAAGGCTTTGGGTCATGCTCCATTGCTTTCCCAGGCCACAAGCAAGCAGCTGGATAGGAAGTGGAGCAGCCAGGATACAAACCGGCACCCACATGGGATCCCAGTATGTGCTAGGCAAGGACTTTAGCCACTAGACTACCATGACAGGTCCCACATTTGCATTCTTACAGCCTAACTGGGGAGAAATGCATGATCACTTTGGATTTGGTGAATTCTTACGGTTGTCCTAAGAGAGTTTCAGGGTAAATGGAGACTGTTTACAACTGTCTGACCTAGGTGGCAGGATCACTCCATTGGAGGGCCTCCACAACTTCACAATTGCTTTTTCCAGAAACAGCATGTGGGAAGAGAAATTTGTTTTCAATGCTTATCCTTTAATCCCAATTTTTCTCTTTCCTTTAGTTAAAGGACCTCCTGGAAGACACATTTGTTCTTTACCCACATTCTTAGTTCAATGATGTTTCCAGTCTCCTAGGAGAAGATTACATTTGACCTTTGCTTGCCTTCTAAAACCATTGTTCTTAGGCCATACAGCATCTCCTGGCTTAGAGTCCTTGTACTATATGAAGTTGCAAGTGGATGAAGTCAGGGCAAAATCCTTTCCTTTGAGGAAATACCAAGCATCCTTGCACAGTTGAGTAGGGAAAGGGAAGGGTTTGATAGAGGGAGGAACAAAGGGGAGGACTGGGAATGAACCCTTGTTGAACGTCCACAGTGTGGGCTATGTATTGTCCTCTTTGCTAGGTCTTATATTCTCAAGTCAATCCTTAGCTAGGCTCATCCAAGCACTGTTATTCCTCAGTGCTAACTGGTCAGGCCACGCCTTAGGAAATGATAGCAAAAGCATGTGGACTCAGATGGGCTTCACTCAAAGTCCATGACTTCCCATTATACCTACATGGGTGCACTGGCATGCCAAGCATACTGGAAAGTCCATCCTACTCAGATTATCAGATTACCAACTTAGCAAATGTGAAAAATACAGAGGGAAAAGGTCACTTGTGAATTTACAGCCCAGCATACTATGTGACTCTGAGCTAGCTCCTTACCTATGCCATGGGTTATTCTCATTCATAAAATGGGAATGAAAATCTTACCTACTACAGAGTTGTTGCAGAGATGGAATGAGAAGGAAGTCTTAAAGCACCAGCTTCTACAGAGGAAGCTGGCATAGCTGTTATAAGGAAAGGCTGCATCCTATGTCCAAGTGCCTGAGTTTGATTCTTGGATCCACTTTGGAGTTCACCTTCCTGCTGATAAGAACGAAGTGGGCTGCCATCATGACCCAAGTAGTTGGGTTAGTTGTTTTCCTGCCATCCACGTGGGTGATCCAGATGTAGTTCCAGGCTTTTGGTTTCACTATGGCCCAGCCTGGCTATTGTGGGCATTTGAGAATGGAAACTCAGATTAAAGATTCTCTTTCTCTTGCCTTCCCTCCCTCCTTCCTTTTCAAATAGGGAAAGGGAACATTTCAAATAAATGTTCATCTTTAAAGCTCTGCCTTTAAAAAATTCATTTTTTAGATATATATATTATTTTGAACTTTCGAATTATGTGTTACACTTTCATATAGACTGGGATTTCCCCCAAACTCCTATCCCCAGACAGATTTTCCCCATTTTGCTACAGTGGTATAATCCTTCATAAAGAATTATAATTCCATCAGTCCCTTATTTAAATGTACCCCAACATTGCTGGTACAAAGTCAGACAGTCCAGCATCCCATTGCCTACACTTGTCCAACAGTTTCTTTGGGAATCTGTCTTTCGTCTGGAAGCAGGGATGCATGTTGCATTATACCCCCACATCTGGATATGGTAGACCACAGTACTCCATCATTATACATTTCCATAATTGAGAAGCCATGAAACAAGGCCAACAACTGGTATGAGAACAACAGCCTCAACAAGCGATGTCTGGGAGAATGAGGTAGATTCTTGCGGTTAAGAAGACTGATGGGCGTTACCTCTTAATATTTCCAATTCTGTGTAGTAAGTTTAGTCCAAAGTTTAGAATTTACTTTGTTTAATTTACTCTTTCTCCAACTGGAGTGACCTATCCAAAGTTTACAAAAGTGCCATGGAAGCAAGGGCCATTCAGCAGCCTTTGCTTCCCTGAATTCTGGGAAGCAGCCAAAAGGGACATGGGATGTAGGAATGTTCTAAACCTGTTGCATTTTTTTTCTTCAGTGTGTTGCAAGAATCCAGTATATTTTTCCATTGATAATGTGCACATTGCTCTCCTGACTACATTTTAAAGTACGTAGTTATTACTAAGAAGTCATTTCATTCTAGTTCTTCTCATTGGTATGTTACGTGCACCAGTTCATTAACCTATCTGCGTAGAGTGTTGCTTTTAATACATAGAAAGTCATGCATAAAATACTTGCTATATCCTTTCAGAGACAAACCAATTGTACATTTCTAGAAACATTATACCCAACATTCAGCTCTATTAGCAATCACGTAAATAATTTAAAAACTGAACAGCAAAACTTATTTGCTCACAATTAGAAATGAAAAGAATGAGTAAGTCATTCAACCAGCAGGATTATAAATTTTCCCAATGGTTTGTCACTCTGAGAAATACAAGTGTACTAGCCTAAAAAGATTTAGCAAAAAACCACAAGATTGGATGTTAAGGATGCACAAGGCACAGGTGTGCTGGAAGAAAACTCAATTTTTAAATTTACCTAGGGCTAAGTCCTCAGGAGAAAATAGCAGCGTGGTTAACAGGAAAGCTGGTTCAGGTTTAACTGCTCTGAAGCAGTTTTCATAAAATCACTGGATTAAAAAATTAACTTTTAAAAGTTGAGGTTGTCAACACATACTTTTGTCAAAGAAGAATTTCAAATACAGAAAAGTTATCACTCAGCCACCACATTTCAGTCATGAAATGGGACCCTTTACCAATATAAAAATAAGAGGGACTTAATTTTGGAGTAAAAGACAGTTCTTAACATTAGATAAATGAATGAAGTGGAAACCTCACTGCCTGGCATTACTTTCCTCATTTCCTCAGGCATCAGTGAAGCCTGTCCCACACTGGCACCAATCCAGGGCATAGCGTTTGGGAAGGACTGCCTTAGCACCATCTCTTCTGGTTCCCTCAAGGGGCTTAGGGTGTCACTCCCCTTCTCTGAGGTTTAGTTATCATCCATGAGATGGAAATAATGTAAACCCGTGTGCCTACCTCACAGGACTTGGCCAAATGAGCTCAATGACACATACAAAGGATCTCTGAAAAGGGTCAAGAATTAGACCAATGTCCAGAGTTGTTATTCTTTCTCTGTTCAAGTTCATAGGCACTGTCCCTGTTAAGCAAGCACAAACTGATAGTTGATCATGGAGAAACAGCACAACTGCTGAGGGATGGCGACTTTGTCCACCCTTTTTTTTTCTGGGCTAGCACCACTCAAACTAGGTCACAAATGGGCATCTTCTTTACCAATTTCAAACATTCCAAAAGAACTGCCAGAAATTCAACATGCAGCCCTTTGCAGACAACACCGTGCACTCGCCTCTGTATCTGTGTACCTGGGAACAATGCTAGGAACAGAACAGGGCAGCAGCAGTTGCTGAATGAATGAATGAATAAGCCTGGGAGTTGAGCACCAGGAAGACTTTGTTCAGTGCATTATACTAACGTCTTTAGCCATTTAACAGAAGGAAAACTGCTAACTCCTGGGGAGGTTAGCAAATCTTTCTATATAAAAAAGAAGATGTGTCTACCTTTATATGTAGAATGTTTGATATATATTTAAATTGCTAGTTGGAATTTAAAGTGGTACAGCTCTTTTGAAAAAACATTTGAACACTTTCTCAAAAATTAATCATGGAATTATCAAATACTACTCCTAAATATATATATGCAAGAGAAATGAACATGTCACATGAAAATCTGTAAAAGAATTCTCATGGCCGAATTATTCATAACAGCCAAACAATGGAAACAACTGAGATGTCCACAAACCAATGAGTAAACAATACACGACAGATCTAAGCTGTGCAATATTATTTGGCAATAAAAAGAATGAAGCATTATTATCTTCTCCAACATGAATTAAATTTGAAAACATTATGCTAAGTCAAAGTAGCTAGACAAACCACATATTGGGTTAAGCTACTGAAATGTTGGCTCCTGTATTTAATTTTTACACCCCAAATGGGCTCCAGCTCCAGCTCTAGATGTTCCACTTCTAATCCAGCTAACTGCTAATCTGCCTAGGAAGGCAGCAGAAGATGGGCCAAGTATTTGGGCCCCTGACACTTATGTAGGAGACCTGGATGGAGTTCCAGGATCCTGGCTTTGACCCAGCCCAACCCAAGTCAGTGCAACCATTTGGAAACTGAACCAGCAGACAGAAGATCTCTCTTTCTCTCTTGTATGCACTCTCTCCCTAATTCTGCCTTTCAGATAAATAAATATTTTTCAGAAAAAATAAATAAAACACTGTAGGAAACAAAAAATTTGTGAACAAATGGAATTATATTTCACTGAGTTAGCTTTAAGCAAATAGTTCCAAAGTATGTGTCCCGGAACTAGAGTTATTAAAATATGTAATAGCCTTATTCCTTTTATAGCAGGTAATTGGAGACTATACACTAAGTTAGTGGCGAATATTGCATACCCAATAATTGATGCATGAATGAATACATTTGAAAAGCCCACATTCACTTTCCTTAGAGACAATATTTTTGGAAACAGCAGGAAAAGCTGTCAAACTTTACTCCCAAAATCAAAAAGAAAAACCAAGATAGTGACCCAGTAAAATAAACAAGCTCGAGATCCTTGATCAGAGGGCTCTCAAGCCTTGAGACTATTTTCAAAGCTCAAGAGTACTAAACAAGTTACTTCAATCAGAAATTTCCAAATGTGGTAAAACTTTCAGCTTTATCAAAGACAATCTTGAAATCTTTATAAAGTACTCAAAATAAAATAGATATTATTTTATTATTTATTTTATTGGAAAGGCAGATATGCAGAGAGCGGGAGAGACAGAGAGAAAGATCTTCCACCCGATGATTCACTCACCAAGCGGCCACAACAGCCAGAGCCGAGCCAAGCCGAGCCCAAGCCAAGAGCCAGGAGCCTCTTCCGGGTCTCCCACACAGGTACAGGGTCCCAAAGCTTTGGGCCATCCTTGACTGCTTTTCCAGGCCACAAGCAGGGAGCAGGATGGAAAGTGAGGCCGTAGAGATCAGAACCAGTGCCCATATGTGATCCCGGCATGTGCAAGGCGAGGACCTTAGATTAGGTTACCATGCCTGGCCCAATAGATATCTTTAAACAGTTAAGTCAAATCTATTTTCAGGGGCTGGCCTAGCAGCTCTACAAACTAATCTTCTGCCTGCAGTGCTGGCATCCCACAATTGATCTTAGCCAAAAGACGAAGAAGCAATAGCACTGGCATCCCATATGGGTGCCAATTTGAGTCCTGACTGCTCTACTTCCCATCTAGTTCCCTCCCAATAGCCTGGGAAAGCAGCAAAAGATGGCTCAAGTCTGGATCCTGGGTTCAGATCAGCTCAACTCTGGCTGTTGCAGTCATTTAAGAAGTGAGCCAGATGATGAAAGACCTCTCTCTCTCCCTCTGTAAAACCATCTCTCAGACAAAAACAAATCTTAAAAAGAATAATGAAAATCCATTCTCAACATCATACAAAGAAAATTAAGGGCATAATTCCTGGCCAGTAAACAGTAATAGAACTCCAAAAAGATTTAGAATGATGGCATTGAAACAATCATATCTGAAACTTCTTCAACTACAATGAACAGTTACAAAGGTCCAGAAAATTGTACAATTAATGGATACCTGATTTGGGACGTGAGTCCCCAGCACCAAGTAATTTATGTGGTATCATAAATGAGGAAACCAAGAGCCAGAAACTCAGAGCAAGCAGTTTAAGGCCACCCTGGGAGTTATGAACAAAACTGAAGCCTAGAATCCAGACTTCAAAATTTCCAACTTTGTGTTTTCTCATTCCATTTTTTAAGTAGCCTTTAAAAGAATTCTGTGTACTAAGGTGTTTTCTAATCATATGGGATATGCCAAGAAAAAAATGGAATTTTAATGCACATAAGGTAGCCATAATTCAAAAATGTTATAAACAGCTTAAGTGAAGGTTTGCCCCAGGTTCAATTTTAAAAAATATTTCTCACTGTTACATAGGTTCCCCACTTTGGTACTGATGCTTGGAACTACTGAAAATGTTGCAACTCTTCCCATAAACATAGTTATCCCCTTTAGGTG